TTCCCCCAACAATGACGCACCGTTGGTTGTGTCGTAGCCGTAAGCACGCGGTTGTCGGGAGAGCTACGAGGGGTAGGGTTTCGGTCTAGCCGATTCGACATTAAGACAAGAAAGCATTACTACAACCACGTATTGCTTCCGGCGCGCTACGATCCAACACACAAAAGTTATACAAAATCACGAATTAGGCGTCGGCCGAGATGTGAAGCGTAGCGACAGTCGTCGTGATTGCGAGAAATATGGAACCGATGCCATCAAAAAGATAATCGGAAGGCAGCGCATCGAAAGCAGCACCTTGAGAAACAGGGAGCTTCGATGGTGAGAGCAAGGCACCAGTCGACGTCGCTGCGTCATGCGCTCAGAAACAAGCCGACGGGGCCGAGCGCGACGCGTTGCCCTGGCTTTGCTGGCGCAGCAACTGCTACTTGGCCACAATGCGGCAACGTTGGCAATCCAACACCGTATCAATCCTTCGACTTGATACCGTGGTACGCTGCGTACGGATCCTTTGAGTTGGCAGGGACGAGGCGAGTGCGCTCGGCCTCCGAGTGTGTTAACTGCGAAATCATTTTGAAGTGCGTCGTCTTGCGTCGAGTTCTAGATGACGCCGGGCTAGTCTAGCAATCTAGGTCTCGCTCGAGGTCCAAGCGGTAATGAAAGCATCATGGTATGCCTTTAGCACGTCAGCAAACAAGGAATATAGTCAGTGGGAAAATGTTGTTGATTGATGATTGGTTAAGTCGAGAACTAAAATCTAGCTATCGATAAAGTTGTGCGCCGTGTACAGCGTCGGCGTGTCGTAATGCTCACATTGTACGCAAGCACCGCGGAGAGCTTGGAGCTGAGCCAAACATCGGGGAATGGATCCCGGGACGCAACAAACGCCTCGAGCCGGAAGAGGTCGGCCATGAGGTCGATGCGGTCCGAATCGTTCGTCGACGAGTAGGTCCCGAGCCGTCGCGCCCAGAACAAGCACGGCTTGTCGAGCTTCTTGATGAACTCGTGGATTTGCGCCTGGCCCCGGATGCTGATGGCGTCGGCGGGCAAAACGAAGCGCACGAGCCACGGAATGGCCGCGTGCCACGCCGAGGAGCGGTTGAGCATCATGACGACGGCGTATCCGATGCGCATCCATCCGTGCAGCGCCAAGGCGCGGAACACAAACTGCTCGCAGCCGCGATCCATCGTCGCGAGGAAAGGCGTGTCGGAGCTCATCACGAGAGGTCGATAGGGAGGTACAGTCGCCGAGGGTCGGAGCGTGTCGGCGTAAGGGAGAAGCGGCGGCCTTGCAGCATCTTGTCGACGAGCGCGTCACTGCCCGGCGCACAGCGCGACGGCGCAAACGCTCGGCAAAGTCGCTGGGTGCATGTCGATTGGCCTCTTCTTTTCGGCGCAACCTGTTCAATTCAGCACCTGGTCACGTACATTTACCGTATATTTCCCTATTATCCGGTCGGCGAGGTGGCACCGCATGGCCGTGGCGAGCGCGCCGGGAAGAGCGCGGGCAGTGCGGCTGCGTCCAGAGGTGCGGCTGCGTCCAGAGGTGCGGCTGCGTCCAGAGGTGCGGCTGCGTCCAGAGGTGCGGCTGCGTCCAGAGGTGCGGCGCCTTTTGAGGCAGCCCGAAGAGCGGCGCAGCAAGCAGCACCGACAAGAACCGGGCGTCGAGGCACGGCGCCGCAGCCCGTCCGATGGATGTCAAGCGCAACCTTGAGCGCCAACGATTGTGACTACAGCGAACGCAGCAAGCCCGAACCAGCGCATCTTAGAATCAACAAGCCAGCGCTGAGCATCATGTCGAGCTCAGTGTCATCAACGGAAAGCCGCGCGCTGCCGACCATCAAGAATTCCTGAGTTGGCGACATATCAAGATATCAACACGAAGAGCACGGCGCCGACAGTAGCGCCTGTAACATGAGGCTCGATGTCTTCTTCAACACGCCCTTTGTCCAGCCCAACTTGCGGCTCAAAGGTACCAAGTACAGCAATGGCCCGGCCGAGGCTGCGGTGACGACGACGATCAAGTGGAAGCTGTCGACGTCCAGCACCCGGAGCAGCAAGGACAACTGCGCCCTCAAGATCCTCGGTCCCGAGCGACCCCAAGCGTGCTCAAATAGGTTAGCACCACCAAGAGGGACAGCACGATGATCGGCGTCTCCACGAATGACGCGCCCAAGGACGCAAGCCCGTGCTTGCGCCAAGCCTCGAACGAAGGACGCTCACGACCCACGGTACGAAGCCGTCACCAAGACAATTGACCCACTATTTTGCTGTTTCGAGCCTGAACGTGTAGGGTCCCACAGTCGCTGTCGCCAAGCTGGCTGACGCGCAACGGCGTCAACCGGCGCGAGCGTACATGTATGTGGTTTCCTCGATGACCTCCAATCGCCCGTGAACGATGCGACGACAAGCTCAAGAAGCAAGCACACGTCACCCACGCAGCTTTCAGCTATCGATCTGTATCGCAAACAAGAAGTAAATGTTGGACGCAAATCGCACGCAAAAAGTATTCGTGTTGAGTAGTTAGTCGTGAAACTGTTGGCATCTAGACAACATTGCGCAGCTGCTCGATGGCTTGACGCCAGTGGGAGTTCGTAACGAACGGGTTGTCATCCACAGCTCGAGTGAGCAGGTCGATGCACTTGTGTGCAAACGCGAGCTTCTGGTCGTTGCCCTCCGGAAGGCTCAAGACGAGCGGCGCAAGGACCCAAGCCCAATCCGGAGAGTCACAGCGACGGTAAAGGCCTTGCAGCGTGCTGTATGGGAGCGTCCGCGGGTGTTCCGGGTCCTGGGCGAGGTACTCGACGGTGTGGACCATGAGACGATGTTGGATTTCGACGTAGAGCGTTGGCTCGCCATTGCTGTCTCGCTCCAAAATTTCGTCGCAAAGCAGGTCGAGATCGTCCGAGTCTGCCGTGAGCGCCATCACAAAGCCGTCGAAATTTAGGGTCACTGCAGCGTCCAACACGGCCAGCGTCGTGGCGTCGAGTTGCTGGGTCGTCGTTGTCACCACTTGGAAGATGGCCGGAATGACGACGCCGATCCGGGACCAGAGCGGGTTCATAGCACCGAGGCGGTCGTGCGTCAAGAGAAGCTGGAGCAAGCTCGTGAGACCGCGCGTCGTCGCGAAGGATCGATCGTAGTGAAGCCACTCGATGGCGCGGTCGAGAAGCGCGATCACGCTCGGGGGCATGTTGTCCAGCTGCACAATGGCGGGCGCCAAAATGTTGACCGGCGAGAATGCAAAGTGGCCCAAAATCGACTGCGACACCGTGTACAGCGTCGGCGTGTCGTACATGCTCACATTGTACGCAAGCACCGCGGGGAGCTTGGAGCTGAGCCAAACATCGGGGAATGGATCCCGGG